AAACCCTAAACCCTAAACCCTAAACCCTAAACCCTAAACCCTAAACCCTAAACCCTAAACCCTAACCCCTTGGGCCCCTAAAGCATTTTATTTGCTTCGTATCGTCTGCTGCATGCATTTGCTTTTCTGTTTATTATACAGCTCTAAACCCTAAACCCTAAACCCTAAACCCCCTATCATATTTTTCTCTTCTTTCTTTTAGGGTTTTAGGGTTCTCCTGCATCATTTGTTTTTTTTATATTCAGATAGAACCCGATGAGTGTTTATTGCGCAGCTCTAAACCCTAAACCCTAAACCCTAAACCCTAAACCCTTTTTCTCTTTTGGATGCATTTGTTTTTTTTATATTCAGATAGAACCCGATGAGTGTTTATTGTGCAGCTCTAAACCCTAAACCCTAAACCCTAAACCCTAAACCCTTTTTCTCTTTTGCATGCATTTGTTTTTTTTATATTCAGATAGAACCCGATGAGTGGTTTGTTGAGAGCTTTGGGGAGGAGAAGTGCTGCGTCAAGCTTACCGTTCGCAGCGGCGCCGTGAGTAGGGTTTAGGGTTTAGGGTTTAGGGTTTAGGGTTTAGGGTTTAGGGTTTAGGGTTTAGGGTTTGTGCGGTGTAGGGTCCCCTCGTCGTCTCACCTTTCTTAGAAACCCCCGATACTCTCGGCTCCTTCTCGTTGAACATTTTCAGCGATTTACCCCTACAGGTGGATCCCTGGCGAGGGTTTAGGGTTTAGGGTTTAGGGTTTAGGGTTTAGGGTTTAGGGTTTGGGTTTAGGGTTTAGGATTTAGGGTTTAATTTTAGGGTTTAGAGTTTACGGTGTAGGGTTTCCAGTCTATGTTCTACCTTGTAAGGGTTAAGGTCTAGGGTACAGGATTTAGGGTTTAGGGTTTAGGGTGTAGGGCTTAGGGTTTAGGGTTTAGGGTTTAGTGTTACAGTCGAAGAACGACAGTATCATGCGCCCCGTATATTTCACAATTCTTTCTTTATTATATTCTCTCTAGGGTTTATAGTTTCTCCTCTATATTATATAATTTATAATTTAGGGTTTAGGGTTTAGGGTTTAGGGTTTAGGGTTTAGGGTTTTGTGTGCAGCGCGTGCAAGCCCTCGACAGCGACTCTCACCAAACCTTCATCGGCCGCTGGGATGCAGAGACAGCCGGGGGCTGTATAAACTTTCCTACGTTGCTTGTAAACCCTCAGAGAGAACCACCGAGTAAGAATTAGGGTTTAGGGTTTAGGGTTTAGGGTTTAGGGTTGTGGGTTATGGGGTGTAGAGGTTTAGGGTTTGGGGTTTCTAGGGTTTAGGGTTTAGGGTTGGTAGGTTAGGGGATACGGTTTTGGCGTTCAACGGTAGGCTTTCGGGTTTAGGGTTTAGGGTTTAGGGTTTAGGGTTTAGAGTTTAGGGTTTAGGGTTTAAGGTTTAGGGCTTAGCGTCTACGGTTTAGGGTTTAGGGTTTAGGGTTTGGGGTTTAGGGTTTGCATCGTGCGAACTGAGTGTTTCTGGATGAAACCGAATGGGCGTATGAATTTGGGGTTTAGGGTTTAGGGTTTAGGGTTTAGGGTTTAGGGTTTAGGGTTTAGGGTTTGTGTGTATGTACAGGTGCATCATCATCATCATCAGTAGAACCAAAAGAAAATAAAATAAATAAAATAAAAAAAGAAAATATAAGTTATATACAAAACCCTTTTTTTCGTGTTGTGGTTATGGAGACAGCCGAAATTTTATTAACTTTGGCGAGACACGATGACTGCTGGGCTAAACAAAAAGAACAAGTAAACCCTAAACCCTAAACCCTAAACCCTAAACCCTAAACCCTGGATTATGTTATGTGTTTTTTCGTGTGTTTATAAAATATTCTGGTGGTTTGGATTGATGCTTAGTTTGTTTGTTGATGGTGTTTGGGGTTATTAGGGTTTACAACTACTATGTATCAGAGATTTAGGGTTTAGGGTTTAGGGTTTAGGGTTTAGGGTTTAGGGTTTAGGGTTTAGTGGGTTGCTGCAGGACACAGCGGGGTGTATGATGGGCCTCTACGTGTTTAAGGGAAAGAATATATCTCAGGAGGCGTTGGTGCAGCAGACAGACTTC